CTTGCTGGATCGAGAAGGCGAGGATGTCATCAAGCTGAACGTGTGCAGAACTCGGAGGTGTCGTGCGTTCGGTACTTGGATCGGTCGGATCGTGAAGACGTACGACTACATCAACCGCGTTGATAAACGCTTCCGCTTAGCGATCTTCAGGGGTATGAAGATACACTCCCCCTCTCGTTGCTATGCATCACCATGATCTTGCATGTGCGTAGGATTTTTTTTGAAATTACTACGTTACCCAACACCGCGGGCATTTGACACTGATGGCCGACTACTTTGCCCCTGATGCACTATTCATTGACCATTTTCGCAGGCGTTTTTGGATGCACAAGACTGTCTTCAATCGTTTGTACCATGGCGTCCGGTCCTACGATGACTACCTCATCCTGAAGAAGGATGCCGTGGGAACAATTGGCTTCTCTGGTTAGCATAAGTGCACGACCGCACTCCGGATGCTTGCATATGGCACGGCCGCTAATCTGTGGGACGAATACCTACGGATGTCTGAGAGCACATACAGAGATGCCACAGTCAGGTTTGCAACTGTCATGGTCGAGTTGTTTGGACCTTAGTACATGCGAGAACCAACTATGGTAGACATGAGAGGCTACTGACAAACTCAGAAGCAAGAGGGTGGCCAGGTTTGCTTGGATCTCTTGACTGCATGCATCGGAAATGAAAGAACTGTCCGAAGGCTTTACAAGGGCAATATCATGGTCATGTTAAGAAGCCCACTATCATTCTTGAAACAGTTGCATCACATGATCTTTGGATTTGGCATGCTTTTTTTGGCATGCCCGGGTCTCACAATGACATTAATGTGTTGCAACGATCGTCGTTGTTTGCGAATCTGACTGAAGGAAAAGCTCCTCCTTGCCACTATACTATCAATGACATGAGTACAACAGGGGCTACTATCTGGTTGATGGTATCTATTCTCCACGGGCTACCTTTGTCAGCACCATCTCAAAACCCATTTGTCCAAAAAAAGGCTCACTGTGCCCAAAGACAAGAAGCGGGTAGAAAGGATGTCGAGAGGGCATTTGGAGTTCTGCAAGCCTGTTTTGCAGTTGTTCGTGGACCTGCTAAACAACGGGGTCCGGAAACCTTATGAGAGGTGATGACATGTTGTGTGATCACAACATGATTGTCGAGGATGAGGGTGACGATGCTGCCGTAGCTCTGGAATTTGAGAACATGGGTGATCCTATCCAACTTTCGGACCATAATTCGACCATATTTGAGGAGTTTATTCAAATGCATCAATAAATTCGGCATCGACCAACTCACGAGCAGCTGAAGGAAGATTCGATTGATCATCAGTGGACGGTGAAAGGGGACAACAATGTTGGGGTGTAATATTTGAACTTTTTTAAATTTGAACTAGTGCCGCATGCGGCTATTTGAATGGGTGTACCCTTTGCATGCGGCTACTTGATCGTGCGGACTAGGAAAAAACCCGAAAGGCCAGATGTATGCAGCTATGGTTGGATGGCGTCCTCCCGCATCCGTGTCCACGGACTGGTCCCCCTGCCCGCGCGCGGATGCGGGAGGAAATTTATGGGTTGCCGTTGGAGATGCCCTTATATCCACCCGTCTCTCTCAATTTCCGTCCTCTCCCTTGTCACTAGCGACATTGTTGACAGTGGTATGATCATCATCATCAATGGCTTCTTTGTCGACATTTTCATGAGTTGAAGTCTCGTTGCCGCGAACTCCGCCGAAAGCACCTTCATTGACACCTCCCATGCCCATGTTGCCGCCAAAGCCACCTCCCATGCCACTCATGTTGTTGTCGAAGCCATCTCCCATTCCGCTCATGTTGACACCAAAGCCACATATCATGGAACACGCTGGATGCGGTCGTCGTCGACGTGGCCACATCTTCCTCCATGGCCGACGGTGGCGGGGGCGGAGGTGGAGGAGCGACTCCTTGGCCGGAGGAGGACGCCTACTAATCGACCGACGTAGCCGCGTCCAACCTCAAATTCTTGGCTGCCCGACTTTAGTTCGACGTCGGGTTGCGCCCCGGCGCTGCTGGCCACTTCATGCCTCCACCATAGGGCTTGGCAGCCCGCTGCTCCTTCGCTGGTGGCTCAGCCGCAACGGCGATTGACTGGGATGGGGCAAAAGCGGGGCACCAGCATTGCGATGCCGGCACGGAGGCGGAGGCCGAATTGAGGAAAGTGGTCGCGGAGATGGTGGTTGCAACGATATGGGTCAGACCACCGGCGCGAATGCGGCGGAGGAGGTGGCGGGGCCATCGGCGTCGGCCATGGCGGCGGCGGGCGGGAGGTGGTTGGATGGAAAGGAAATGAAGGTAGTTGGGCAGTTAGCGCGCGGCCGCCGATTTTACATCTCCTGTAGGTGGAGATGCAAATTTGCATCTCGAGGTGTTGCATTTTACATCTCCGGAAGGCGGAGATGTTTTTTTTTTGCATCTACATCATCCGTTGAAGAGGGGTTTTGGGGCCTTGAAGATGCAAAAGTTGGTTATTTCTATTAAAGAATCTCTAATAAGTACGAAATCACTAATTAAGGAGCACTCCTCGCAAAAGTCACTCCCACCTCCCGAGATTGCGACAAGTGGCACACTGCACGTGCCTCATTTGTCGCAACCTGAGAGTTTTTCCTTTTTTCGTAGATATGTTTATTTAAAAAGTTTTATCTCTTAAACCGTGCGTCCAAATCTCATTAGATTCCTCGCGTCGAGATCTTCAAAACTAAATCCCATGTTGATAGGTTTTAATGAATTTTTTTCACAAAAAACGAATCAGGAGCACATTTTTTCTCCTTTCCGAAAGAGGCACGACTGCGCCTCTCATGAAATCAAATATGTGCCTCCACGAGAAGTAAGTCCGTGCCTCTCGCGGAAGGAAAAAGAAAAAATGTTTTTCTTTCGTTTCCGAGAGGCACGACCGTGCCTCTCACGGAAGCAAACCCGTGCCTCCCGCAGAACAAAAAAAGAAAATGCGTTTTATTTTCGTTTCCGAGATGCACGGAAGCAAAGCCATGCCTCTCGCGGAAGGAAAAAAAAGGAGAACGTGTTTTTTTTCGTTTCCGAGAGGCAAGGTCGTCCCTCTCACGGAAGCAAATTCGTGCCTCTCACGAAAGCAAAAAACACGTCTTTTCATGCATTTTTTCCTTTTGTTCAAAAGCTAAGAAAGACTGCTGAAAATCCGAAAAGCTAGAAAAAGACCCAAAAACCCATCTAAAAGCCGAAAACACGTGCAGAATTTTAAAAAGAAGAATCGGAGGAGACGCCCGAAGCGCGACACGCAGCCCACCTCAAGTGACCCTTGGGGAGGCTCCCGAAGAAGCGCTCTTAGTTAGCTGCTCCCAGTCACAAAAGAACGTGTGTAGCCCAATCTCAACTCATTCAATAGCTGTTCTCACATATATCAAGTTTGAAATGTCAACATATCATTATTATGTCTTGTAAAGAACAATACATGCCAACAGATATTTGTATTGGAGTTTGATGTAGTTATGTTTGGTTGACGAACAATTACAAAAATTACCTTTGTTTTAATTTCTCTTCACAAAATATGCATAGTGCTCAATTTCCAAGTTATCAACTTCAAGGTATTTCTTTTCCCAAACATGCAGCCAAATGTCTAGCATTTTGCATTAGAAGAGAAAGTCGAGACGATACAAGATCCAAACAACACAACCAGAGAGGGAAACTCAAAACAAGAAAGCAAAATATGTGCTATCCGAGGAAAAACAGAAATAAGCCAACAAAGAACAAATGTGAAGAGAAGCAAACTGTCCAGAACGAAGTTCAGGGGCGTCGGGTGTCACTCCTTCGAACATACTCCCTCCGTCCCGAAATACTTGTCATCAAAATGGATGTATCTTAGATGTTGACAGCACGACTTACTAAAATAGACTGATGACATTGGATAGATTGCGATCTCCACTAGTACTAGTACTTGTTATCACAGGCGGGTGGATCACAGTATGTGTACGTGTTAAGCATCAGCAACAACGATTTTTACAGAAAAATGTATACGTCATAACGGTTAGAAACGCCTGCCATGTGTAACTCGTGACATTATCCGTCCAAGCTGTGTGCGCTGCATACATAATTAACTTCCCCGACAGATAGAAGCTTCACAAAAGCGCTGCATACATAATCTCAACTTATTCATCGGATGTTCTCACATAGAGCAAGTTTGGAATGCCAGTGTCATTTCTTAATGTAAAGAACAATACATGGCAACAAATATTTGTATTGGAGTTTGATGTGGTTATATTTGGACAAGGAACAATTATGAGCAATGTTTTAATTTCTCTTTACAAAGTATGCATAGTGCTCAGTTTCCAAACTGTCAGCTTCAAGGTGTTTTTCTTTTTTCCTGAACACGCAGCCAAATGCCTATCACTTTGCATTTGAAGAAAAACGTCAAGATGAAGCAAGATCCAAACAACACAACCCAAGGGAAATATCAAAACAAGAAAGCAAAATGTTGGCTATCCGAGAAAAAACAGAAAAAGAAAAGGCCAACAAAGAACAAATGTGAAGAGAAGCAAGCTGTACAGGCTGAAGGTTCTGCCCGCAGCCTGAAACCAGGATCTGAACTCCTATGTTCGATGTGGACAGAGTGCCTGAAGGCTGCAGAACGATAGGACTCAGATGTCATACCTGCCTCGAGAAAATGCAGCCGGTTAGCAGATGTGAGATTGTCTCATAAATTCAGATGATCAACTCCGAAACATAATCAATTCAGACGAATAATCTTGTTTTCAAGTCAAGATTTCGTTAAGTACGACATCATTATAAAATTAATGTTGCCGCTCCCAAAAATTGGTGCAGGATTTCCTCATTATCGGCCTATAGCCATTGGCCATGGTACAAAAGGTATTTCTCTTTTCCCTATAACCTTTTGCTGCGACTTCGGTGCAAAGCTTGCCACAGAGAAGTATCATTGTGCTGACAATCTGGGCTGAATGCTGCAGAATGCAACAGCTGCATTCATCACTACAGAATGGTTGATTTAAGGGGCAGTTGAAGCAACCTTTGGGTAATCATTATCGGGCTGCGCTTCCCATTCTGTCCAAGATCCGTCATAAACTGGAACGTCATGCTTACCGATTCTATAGAGGCCCTGTAAAGAGATATTGTTAGAGACTGCTGGGCAGGGTCAGTGTCTCAAAAGATATATCCAAGAAGAGCATGCAAGATTTCCAGACCAGGGCAAGTATGCAGGCAGTTACACCAGATCCACATGTGACGACAATCGGGTGATCAAGCGAAATGCCTGAAGAAACATGAGACAAGATGCTATTATTGCTATTGCTTGGTGAACTTGATGTACACATATGGCATCCCTAAGAAGATTCTGCTCCTTCGGTCAGAGAATCAAATGTTGTTCTGCTTTCAGTATTGTATAGATTGCGAAAGTTTTTTTTTCTTGCATAGTAAAGGGTTAAAGGCCATGGATAAACTACGAGTTTCGGACTAGAACTGTTAATCAAACAGAATGCAGACCTTCTTGCTCAAACTTTTTTGATAGCTCATCTGCAGGGAGGAGCGTTTGTGCACCATCAAACATCTGGGAGAAGATCAAACAGTGTCAATTTCTTTGGTATTTGTGATTATCCAAGTATTATGTGATATATGGCATAGTTGCACTATACCCACCTCAGGGAATGGAACACATTTAGCTCCAGGTATATGCCCACTTCTTACTCCTTTCCTTGGTTCTGGCATTACACCATCAAATCTGCGAATGAAAATTTGAAGTCATTTCATGACAAAAATAAGAAACTAGGGATAACTTTTGGGGGAGATTGACAAGAAATCAAGAATAATAAATGTCATCATGTTTAGTTACATTAAGTTTTCAAGATAAAGAGAATAAGACAAAATCCTTTAATACAACAGTGAGATGAACCATAATATCTGTGTGAACCACAAATACCATTGTCATCAACGTTTTCATATTATAAAGGAAATTCTTTAACTTCGTTATTGCAAGAAAGTTCTATGCTACATTAATTATGATCAGAGCTTCAATAATTATCTCTTCCAATCAGAATAATCACATGTTGAAAGTTAAGAGATTTTACCTGCCCTTTGATCGGGCAGCTATTTTTTTCTCGAACACGTGTTGTTTTTGTCTTAGATAGAGAAAGCAAGATGGCGCAAAATTTTACAGCTGAGAAAAAACCTAAGCTAGCAAATAATTAAAAGAAAGATGTTACCTGCCCTTTGCTCGGGCATCAACTACTTGATGAGCTTTAGCAGCTACATTTTGTTTGACCTGTTACACAGACAGAATGGCTCAACATACACGTGGATAATCAAGATACTGGTGTGTCCCTGAGTCATATCATCTTCATTTTTTTGTTTTGTTTTACAGAAGGTAAAACCCTTTCAGAATAGTTAAAAGAAATATCATGAGATACAAACAATCCCCGACTAGGACTGATGTGAACCAATTCATGATCCGGTTTATCATATATCTGCATCTATATGGATGCATGAAAGTTTTCAGGTAAAACAAAGTGACTTAGGTTTTTAGTTAAGATGGAGAGGTAACCTTTTCTAGTGTCCAGAGTAGCTGAGGTCGAAACTCTGTTTGAAATGTGGCAGCATTTGCCTGCAAAAATTGTAACCATAATTACTTGACAAATAAAAAGGAGTCGACAGTAAGATAGTCATGCCATCTTAAGAGATATCTTACCAATTTACCATTATAAGCTGCTTCAACAGCCCTATTTGCTGCTTTGGACTTCAGAACTGCATCATCAGGGCAGCTGCTTGCAATGTTGAATCCAGAAGCTTGCCACTGAGGGAAACCTCCATCTAAGACCCAAACTTTATCATGTCCAAGAACTCTGAACATCCTTTTAGTTGACGCAGGATGCATAAAACTCATCAGTTTTTGCATATAGAGGTTGAACAATAAGGCAGAGAATGACTTCAGGCATTTGCCAGGTAAACTTCGAGTCTCTGTGTGTTTATTCATTCATGCAGTTAACCTTTTGTTGAATGGAGACAGATTCAATTTACCTTGTGCGACACACCAAAATAGATACACCCCTGACATTGTAGCCTTTAAATTTGAGGCATTGTATTCGCCATAATTGAAAACTATGTATCATGTCTTCCTATTGCATGCAAACTTCACTTTTTTTTATCTCATGATCAAAGCTTTAGTGCTTGAAGTAGGTTATTAGAGCTAATTAGACTCTCGGGTTGATAAAGTAATTAGGTCTATCAACTTGTATATATGTGAGGTTACGCAGAAGAGTACGAATGTACCTTTGCATGTAGTAAATAAAAACAAGAAAATTAATATATCAACTTGATTTTGAGCATCTTATATATCAACAGCTTAACTCTCTGTGCACTAGCAACTTTGGTCGAGTTTTTCATTTAGTTAAAGTCAACTAAAGCAGCGTTCTGCTTACCACCAAACACGAGGCGCACTGAAGAAGCCCTTTCCATCATAAACAACAACTTTATCATGGTTATTGATACCAAGTGCGGAAACTGCTGCTGCAAAAGCCTCTTCTGATGGCAGCATGTGTGGCAACTGAAATAATTGCATCCAGCAAAAATAGGTCAAATGTCTATATCCATATGCTGATATGCATACAGTGAAAGACTGAAGACAGAAAATCATTGTATCAGGTCAATTGCCAGTTTGCTATATCTGCAAGAAACTGTTTGTTCTTATTTACTCGAGTCAAACGATCGCGCAAACAAGAAATGAATTACAATCTGGAAGCATTTCTCACAGCAGTCGTCCGATTGACGATTCCATCAATGTCGAAGAACAGCGCGCCAGGAATATGGGCCACCTGAGCATATGCAAATATCTTAGCTGGGAGAAACATTGCCACAAAAGGGGAGGAGCAACGAACATGTAGCTGATCCAGAAAGAAACCTGGTATTCTTGCCATGGGTCCCTGCTCTCTTGTGGCATGTACCAGGAAGCATCCAATACCTAAAACAGACAAGTCCAATGTTAA